GCCCGGGATCCGAACCCGGGTCGCCAGCAGTGGAGCGCGCTCACTTAACCACCAAGCCACGGGGCCGGCCCACAATCCTTGTTTTTCAAGTGGTCTTTGGACTTTGACTCTAAATATTTTGCTTCAGTTGGACCACTGCTTTGCTTCTTAACTACTTTGTCTAGGGCTGCTGAGATTATGATTACAAATTATGGTCACATCTGCTTTCAGTGTCCATTTTACACTGACTCAAGCTCCCATTTATGTAACAACAGTGCCTCAGTCTCTCTCTCAAAAAGTCCTCAGTAATTTCTAGGGAGTTCCAAAGGGGGTGCCTCACATATACCCAGAGACATGAGTCAGCCACCCTATGACCACCCTGCTGCCCACACAGCTCACTGAGTCCAGTGCCTGTGTCACTAGTTCCAGATCCTGGATACTCCCCAACTTCTAATCCTCAGGGTGCAAAAGCAGAGCTGGGTTCCACTCAGAGATGGGACAGAAGTCCTTCTCCCTGACTTGCTGACTCTGTGCCCTTTTGTCACTCAAGCCCTAAATCAGGTCACTTGTGCCCAATGTGTGATAACTCCTCTCATGAAGATTTCCTTCCATGTCTGGCCTTCAGTCCTCTAACCACAGGGGCTGAAAACCTATCCACAGGGTCAGTGAGGGGACAAAGATCAAACCATCCCCTCTGTCATCTTCCAACCAAAGACTCGGCTCCCTTCTTCTAGTTACAAGAGGAAAGCTCCCATGTTACATAACAAAAGCATCTATCACTGGATACAAACAAACTGACATGTGTATGCACAGGACATGAGCGGGTAGGGGTGATGTTGCCTAAATTGTGTTGGGGACCCAGCTCAGCAAATCAAAAATGCCCTGTCATGGTCTTCATTGCATCTCAATGAAAGGCAAAATTGCTGAACATTTCAAAACTGTTCTAATGGCCAAAGCAATAGAACTGACAGGTCTCTGACAGAATTTCTAGTCAAGAATGGAACTCTAATAGAAACGAAGGCTGAAGCACTAGAAACTAACTAGACTAACATTTATACGGCCAAACACAAGGCTGGGTTCCCACAGGATTTTGCTCACCGCTCCTAGGATTGCACTCACCACACTACAGTCAAAGGCAGTGGTTTACATAGGTTTGCTTCATTTCTGTGGTCCCAGCACCTGATACAGCATGGGATATTGATAGTGCAGAGTAGAAGCTCATTGTTTGCTGAGCAAGTGAATGAATGAATGGCATCCTTTCAAAAAAGCCTGTTTATGCTTCCTGCGAGAAATAGTATTGAGATACTGGGGATGTTTCCGCCAGATATTCTTATGGGTGAGAGCAGAGAAAAATTAAAATACTGGGACGTAGGACCTACAAACTAAATTTGAGAAGGGCACACACATTCCACTTAAATCTCTAGCTCACAGGGCATGTGCTTCTAGGCATCTCCTCCAAAATAACAGGTTACTTGGGTTTTCTTTTTTAATTACTTTATTGAGATCATATTAGCTCATAACATTGTGTAAATTTCAGGCGTACATTATTATATATCAGTTTCTGTATAGACTGCATCGTGTTCACCACCGATAGTCTAGTTTTTATCCATCACCATACATACGTGCCCCTTTACCCCTTTCGCCCTCCCCCAACCCCCTTCCTCTCTGGTAACCACTAATCTGTTCTCGTTATCCATGTGTTTGTTTATCTTCAAATATGAGTGAAATCATACAGTGTTTGTCTTTCTCTGTCTGGCTTATTTCGCTTAGCATAATACCCTCAAAGTCCGTCCACGTTGTCGCAAATATTTGGCTTTTCTTTCTTGGACCCACACAGCAACTCACTCCAACGAGCTCAGGGAAGAATAGCTTCTGTGGGCATCTACGATACAGTGGAGGTGAAATGGACTCAGAGGAGTGGCTCAAGCTGACCCTGGGACCACACTGCCTTTGGCCTTCCTGTTGCATGAACCAATAAATTTCCTAATCATTTAAGCCAGTTTTAATTGGGTTTACATTTCTCGCAACAGAAATTTACATTTTACATTTCTTCAAAGCTTTCTGCCTGATAAAATGATAATACCCACATCCTTGGTTGCTGTGAGGATAAGTTGAGAGAGTGTGTCTATAGCAGCAGCACAGTGTCTGGGACATGGTGAGAACTCGATCGTGGCTCTCGGGGTGACTCTCCATTTTGTCCTAGAGAAGCAACAATTAATTAAACAATTAATGTTGTTAACAATTAATTAACAATCACAGGCTCCCAAGGCATCAAGATAAAAGCCCTAGAGATAAAACAAACACAGCCAGCGAGAGGATTCTCCAGGGCATTGTGTCTATCTTAGAGTCCTCCAAGCGTCTCTGCAAACATTTACTGAGTTGTACTGAGCACCTACTTTGTGCAAAGTCCAGTGCTTACAATGGAGTGTGTACATCACACATAAAGTGGTATGTACAGTGCAGGAGGAGAGACTATGTGAAAATGTAATCAGACATGAATTCAGATTCCAAATATGAGTTGCCACTTTCCTTTGCTAAGTCCGGGGCAGACATTGCTAATCAACCACTGAACTCTTTCTCACTGAGCCTAGACAGCCTTAAAATCCTTCTCAGCAGAACATTCTAGGGAACCACTACCAACTGAACAAAGTGAGCACACAAGATGAAACTGATTTGCCTTCCCTACTGTAACTAACCATTGAGTGTCTGATACTAGATAAAACTGGCAGACTAAAAAGAGAGATACCCGATTTAGAAGAAAAGATTTTGGGAAGTTAAGTTTAGTATGTATGTGAGAAATTGCCAAAAGATTTTTAAAGAAATCTCAGTGGCTGAAGGACAAATGATGCAAACGAGTCTGATACCATCAGGCCCTACCTGACTCCCTAACTGCTCCCCCTTATCTCTCCTCTTCACGTACTGGGACACATGACCCCACTTACAGCACAGGTCCTGCCAGTTCCTGAGTGGAGTGTAGTCTTTCCTGCCTCCAGGTTCCTGTCCTCCTGGTCTGTGGAATCCAGCTGCAGCTAACCGTCTATGCCACGTCAACAAAGACAATTTTACCAGTTCATAAGAGAGTCAGTGAAGAGATTATCAAATTGATTCAACCAACCCAGTTGAAACCGATGTACCCAGGAGAGGGCCAGGTGAATAAAGAGAAGCTTGGGCAGCTCTTTTGGGAAAAAACAAACACACAAACTTTTTTTAAGTCTGCATCCAAAGGAGCTCCCCCTTCCTCTTCTAGGGTGGGAGGAAGGTGGGTAGGGAGGATGGGCATCTGCAAGGTGAATTTTGTGATTAACAATTATGTGCTGAAAGCCAGAACTCCCCCTT